ACCATGGAGCTAGTGTTGCTATCTCCATTCACCATGGAGCTATCTCCATTCACTCAGCTGCCTCTTTCCTTGCTGTCATAACCGTCTCTTCTTGCTGTTATTGGACCACCATTTTGTTATTGAAAGATCCCAACATGGTCCATAATTTATGGAACCACCTAACAGCTGTAATATCTAAATTCTTCTTGTTGCAATGCAATGTATTATATATTGAATAAGTTCAATCAATGAAAGGTACAGCTTTAGCACTCTTTAATATATATATATATATATATAGACACACACACATAATCTCCGGACTGACAGCTGCCGGATGAAATTTTGGCTCTGGTTTAACTCAACTGATTTTCTTTACAAGTTCAAAATACTCCACCGCAATTGGCTTAACTTACATGGGAATCATGATTTGTGCCTGTACTCTTCCGGTAACGGTGGTACATTTTTCGCAGTAGGGGAATATGTTCCTTCCGCCAACGAAAGATGTTGTCAAGGGGAGTGAAGAACATTACTATGCGGCCGAGTGGAATGAAGATGAAAAGCACAAGGGAATGCACCAGAATAGCCTCAAATTTGCCGAAACTAACAAGTCTGAACGTGGCCGGCGTGTCAGCTCCGCCCCAACTCCACCAAATACAACGCCAAACCATGTTTAAATTAGTTTCTCCAGTTCAACTTAATTTTTATTTTGAGTATTTTCTGCTTTTATTCATATTCTCAATAATGTGAGACAGAGAGTAACTTTGGAACATTTGATTTACAGTGCAAATGTAAGTAATTATAGTAATTAATTGGCATGGGTTAACTACTTTAATCGTTTCCTGACTTGTTGGAAGGGGTTAGAATTATCAATCATGGTACTTATACATTAGAGTAATGTTATTCATTTATAGTGGGGTTACAAACACAGTCTAGGTGGCTCATTTAATGCCACATTAACACTGCCTAAACTGTATTTGTAATTTCATTGGAGATGAATAGCATTACTCTATACATTATGGTTGACATCTTTTTTTATATACTTCCACGTGGCACAATCTTATCATTTGATTTCCTCAACAATATTTTACATCACTGTCCAAATTGTGCGACATAAGAGAGGATTTCAACCATGTGATAAAGCAAGATGTATATCTAGCATTATTGTAGAATTATAAGATTGCTTGAGTAACGGAAATAAAAAATGTGATACGACTTAAAATTACATAAACGTTCGATTCTTGATTGCGTTTAATATTTCTCCCAATTTCATAATTCAAATTTTAAATCGACGATGTAACTTTTTTTTTTCCATGATTGAGTTTTTTTTTTTAAATATTTTTATCAAGATTTTCAGTTCAGAATTTTACTTTTTAACAATAAAGTTTCCAAAATAAAAATAAAAATGTTTATATTTTTTTTTAAGATTAGCCAATCATGAGTTATTGAGTCCTACCCATAAAAATTGAACATTATACCACGAGTCACTTAATAAAAAAAATAATATTTATTATATAATGTTTAATGTCATTGAAAACGTTTTTTAAGCATTCTAGAGAGATCAAAACTAGCTCAAGTGGTAAGAGGTAAGTTTCATCAGATTAGCGACATGGGTTCAAATGTCATTTGAGGGTGGGTGGACTTTTTTTAAAAAAAATCTTTCAATGTTAAATTTCTCATTCTTCTTCTTACCAGTTTGGCAGAGTACTAGAAAATGAGTTGAGGGTAGGGTATAAATTGATAGAAACGAGCGATTAATAAGTGAATATATTTGAGAGTTAAAGTAAAAATTAGTATGATTGATTACACATACCTCCCTATATTTTATGAGGCTTTATATAAGCTATTCAAGTCCACGGTATCAAAAGCAGGACATTTTTTGGAGCACTAGACACTACTTAGGTTGAGTTTATAGGCCAAACGAAAATGATTTTATTAATAAAAATATTTTTTCTTTACAAACACACACCTTGCACTTTCTCTCTTTCACACTCACTCTCTTTGCACTCTTTCACTTACACACTCAAATACACTACTAATGTAATGAGCATGCACACACACACACACATATGGACATTGGATTCTTCTACACAAAGGTTGATGATTCTTGATAATTCC